CTGGAACTTCCACTTGTCGCAAATTATATTCAGCAGAATTCAGCGCAGGACATTCCAAAAGTTCAAATTACAGATTTACGCAGCAAATCAAAAATAGACTAAACTGATATATACTGAGAGCAATGACAATTCAATCGTCGCGCGCGATTGAACAATAAAAAGCCGATACTGGTAATAAAGCAATCTGACTTGGCAACATTCAAGAAAAAGCGCGTCAACCCGCTAGGTCTTGTGATGATTTTACACGAACTGCAGGCTTTCACTACGAATTTGTATATGATTAATTCCTATGTGTAATGGTCGAGTTATATTACACAGGCCGAGTAAAAACTAGGCGGAATATTACTCGATATTTTCACTCCTACTACAATTAAATTAATTGTGGAGTAGAAAATATAAAGTAAAATTTACTTCGTTATTTTGATTATGAGTAAAATTTACTCCGTTAAATTTTTTAGTTAAATTGACCATCAGTGGAGTATATGTTCGAATACTCATATCGACGACTGAAGTGTAGTTTTAACTTCATTCTTGCCTTTTGGAGTAAATTTAATTCAAAATTTTCACTCCCAATTTTTAATTCTCAGTGGAGTTAATTAAAATAACTCATTCAAATCAGCAGTGTACACTCAACTAAATGACCAATAAAAAGTTGGTTATAATAACTTTTATAAATTGGTCGAAAGATGACCAATTTTTTCGACCAATTAAGTAATAGTCAAACGAACCAAATTTAATTGGTCAAATGCGACTAACTAATTAAACAATTGGTCAAAATGACCAATTGCCAATGGTTGCAACCTAAAAAATTGGTCATTTTAACCAATCAGTTTTTACAGTGTATAATATGATAATCGAACGCTGAATGCACGAGACTCCTAGAGGGGTCTGTGTGGGTCTGGGTGTATGCCCCCAAGAAATCTAAACAACCAGAAATGCCATTTCCTACATTTTTGGAGGTGAATTTGCAGAATTCTGAAGATTACAAAACGTTCTATAAAATGCGCATATTGTTTTCAATTTTAATATTCTGAAGTATATGAAAAGAAGAAAGTATTTTACTGCTGTTTATATTGCTTAAGTTTTGTTAATATATAAATTTTGTTGACACAAAAGTAGGCGGCCGCAGACAGGCAAGTATAGTCGGTCGTTTTGGCCGGCTACTGACTCCTTAATGACAGTCCTGGTTATTTAAAGTATGTGATAAGGGAATGCATTTACTATCGTTTCAAAGCATTTGCCCTACAGTCACGAAGGAAATATTTACTTGCGACAGTTTTCTTTAGTTTGGTTAATGTCTGGTTGTTTCTGTATCAGCCATAAGCCAACGAAATCTTCTTGTTCCCGTGCAAATTAGTACAGACCGCACATGGTTGTTTAAAACCAGGAGTTTCATTGGTCTGTTATGTACAGTGCGATAATTTCCCGCGGGAGTGATAATGTTGCAGGAATGGACGTCTAAGACTGAAATTGTCCCGAATTTAAATCAGTCTTACAATTAATATTTATAATTTTTAGTGGCGAGAACGAAGGCCCGCGTACGGGAAATACCATCGCTGCGGGTATAATATGTATTAGTAACTATATACTCTTTATGCTTGCACTACATACCCATATTACTTGTTAGTGCATTACAAAACCCATATTAGCCATTCGCAACTAAAGAGGTGAACTGCTCGATCGATCAAATTACTAGACTTCCTATCTCTGTAATGAATGAAGGTATGGAAAGTTGACCTAGGATTTTGCCGCACTATTATGAAGTGTCAAATTCTGCATGTGCCTGTGCTTGAAAACTTTCCATGGGCTAACTGGCATTTGTCGCACGATTCCAGTTCCACTTGTGTAGATAGTTTCCATACAAGAAATCTGCAGAGGAAGAAATCTAGGAATATGACAGTAGCTACCTTAAATTGAAAAAGGCATAACAATATTTTAACATTATTATAAATGCCTGGTTGTAGATTCTTTGACTTTAACGATCTTCGGAAATAGCTGCCATCTTGATAATCTCCATATTGTCCATCCCTTTACCAGCGAAAAAAACCTAACCCTAAACCTAAAAAGGCCTCTTACCTTGAACCTGAATCTAACTTTATCCTTAACTAAAACGAAATCTGAGTTAACTTTTGGAGTATCTTTAAAACCTCCCTCTTGTCCATTGCTTTTAGCCATTCTCCTCCCATTATCGGTGACCGGCCCCTATAAGAACATCAACATGTGCTATCCAGACCCATGTTATTTATAGGTAATTTAGTTTGATGGTTGGTAAAGGTTATTTTCGTTAAGCGTACTTTGCCATTTTTATTTCGCATGAAAGTCGTGAAATGGCTATTTTATTTTCCATGAAACGTGAAATGCTTTATTTATTTTACGTGAAAGGAGATATAAAACGCAATTCTTCCGTGAAAGGTTATTTTACTGTAAGAGCTTTCCAGGATTAGGAAGCAGACTGTTCACTTGCACCTGGCTAAAGAACTTTATATTTTGCCACATTGGGCGAAGTTTTATTATATCAAACAAACCTACATTTATTCTATAACGAAAAATGTCTTTGAAAATGATAATAATGTGGCGAGAGTGACAGCGATTTGCTTAAATAACTAATAATATACATAAAAATATTATTATTCGACTGTGATTGGTTGATTTCAGTGCAGTTAATCCGAAACAGCAGTGCAATTTTTTGTAATCACAGTGCAATTTACTGTAATCACAGTGCAAAAATCTGCAACAAACTAGTCTGATTGGTGGAAAAACGATGTGATGATAAAATCAACCAATCAGTTTAAAGCAGTTTAGTCTGAAGAAGTAACGGCCACAGATTGCTTCAAAATAGAACAAACACGGCCAGAGACGGATGTTCATATTTTCGGTCGGGGGGGGGGGGGGGGGGGGTGCTGCTGCTTGCTTTGGCCGGGGCGTGGTGGCCACACCCAGAAAGGCCAAGGCAAAAGTTTAACAAAATTTGTTTTCTAGGCCTGCATGGCGAAATCTGAGACCATAATATTGGTAGTTTTACAAATTTAGTAGTAAGAATAATCAAATATGAAACTATCAAATCAAAATATATATAATTTGCGGGGGTGCAAAAACGTTTGGGGGCGCACCCCCCCCCCCCCCCCCCCCGCCTGAACACGGCGCCGCGCTACATACATTTGCCGGTGGACGGTTCGCTATTTAAAACGTAAGTTAAAACTACAATTGTTTCGAACATTTTTATGTAAATTATTAATAAGTAACAGCATTTTTCTCGTGACATGTTGTAAACAAATGAATTTCGCGAAGACAAGTTTTCTATGTTTCAAATTGACTAAACTTCTGAAAAGGATAAGCTAGGAAAAAGGCAGCATAAGCCAGCCTAGTGCCAGGCTCTCTCTCTATTCGCTGCTTTGGTATATTTAAATAAGTCTTAAAAGTTTTATGCCTGGGTGTCCTGTGCGGAACGCTTCAGCGAGAGAGCCTAGCAGATTTCGGTAAAATGGTCCCTGATTTCAAAAAAGTGGTCCCTGGCCTGGTTACCAAGCATACCGCGTTTGTAAAAAGAAAATGTTATGGAAATTTCTTTTGCGTTTATAATTGAGACTAATGTTTTGCTCTAATGCTGTCGGAACAATGAAATAGGCTACGTTTCGCTACCATACGGTCAGAATGGAATAACGGGGCTAAATATGACTCATGTTTACTAAAATATAAGCCATATTAAATGCTATCTAGAAGCTTGAAAATTATGCCGAGTCTCCGACTAAAAATGTTTTGACAACACAGTCATGTCAGGCAAATATCTCCAATCTCCTCAGCTATATATTAAACCTGTCAAGTAGAAAGCGTAGTTTTGTATACCAATATATGGTCCAGTGTTGATCACACCTTGCGAATATATAAATAACATCAACGAATATACGACCATTGCTCAGACTCAGTATCGTAAATTTGTATATAATTTTTTTTAGTTGAGCACATTTTTAATACAGTATGAATTTGGTTATGTAGACATCGAACATGATCAACGAACATTGTCGTATTTACAAGGTTATTTGTATATATATAAATTTTCCGCCATATTAAAAATACTGAAATCTGCTAGGCGTTCTGAAGCACCTTTAGCGGTGACGTCACACCTAGGTCCCAGTCTCGTACTACATGCACGTTTTTTTCTCGCGCTTGCTTCAGAACGACTGGGACTAGGCTGAGGATAAGCTATTGGCCAATATACTACTGTCCTACATCGTAAAATATCGGGTATGCCCGATTCTATTGAGGATTCTTGATTGGTCAATGGCATGCGAGCGTATAGTAATGTGTCATAGATATACTCATAATCCAGTTTTAATTTCAGGTCAGTGACAGTCATGGCGTATCGGAATCTCGCAAACGACATCGCTGATATGGTGAACGAACAAAATGAAGCTTATGTAGCTGTAGCAGGCAGTTCCAATCTGCCAGAAAATCCATCATCAGTTCCAGACAACAGTGGCATACGTCCTAATTCGTCGAATAGCCATGGGAATAATCAGGCGAATAATGAGGCGAATTCCAACAATGCTGAGGACGTAGAGAGGCTTGATGGTCATGATGAAATATTTGATCCAGCAGTGAGTGCGGATTATGAATGTCCCATATGTATGATGGTATTACGTAATCCAGTCCAAACAACATGTGGACATCGCTTCTGCAGAGGATGTATCACGAGACATGTGGCGTAAGTTTTAGACTACTTTCATATGAGAACAGACGAATCGGGAGCCGTATATTATACAGGTATCTTATTGGATTCTTCTGAGCCCAGTATGGCAAAATATTAAGTCGAGACTTCAATATTGGGCGAGACCGAAGGTCGAGCCTAATATTGAAGTCGAGTTTTAAGAGTTTTATTATATCGAACAAAACAATTCTATAACAAAATTTGTCAATAAGCGATAAAGTAATACAGCGAGAATAATACAGCGACAACATTATTAAATATATCGGCGGCGAATTTTTAAATAACTATAAACAAAAAGTTAATAAACTTGTTTTTACAAATATGTGTGTATAAATAAACTCAATTCCATGTATGTTTAAAGGAAATTTGACCTGATTTTAACGAAAAAAATAATATTACTAACCTCGAGGCTGTTGCAAACAAAATGAATTTCGCGAAGACAAGTTTTCCCGCGCTTTTATAATTTTAAACAAAACTGGTAGAAAAAAAAAACTGTATTAATGTCCCAAATTCTTTACATTATTCTGCCATATCGCTTGTCGTATGTTTAAAGTGCCTATGCAACGAATTTTTCACCTCATTTTTTATTGTTTTTCTAAAAAGTACTGCTGGAGTGATGAAGAATGACGTTTACAGTTTCGTCATATCTCATCTCAATCTCAAGTTATCACACTTTCTATATTTTGAGTTGTGACGTCACACGTATGAGTTGAGATAATGGCAATAACAAGAAAGTATGATACCTTGGTGAGTATTTAATAAAATTCAATGAAACTTGGTACACTTAGTGGGTGCACTCATATGAATATTTTGGGTAGGTCATGTGGTTGTCATGGCAACACACTAGTCCCCAGTCTCTTCTCTTCCTTTCACAACTTTCCTCCCGTAGACCTCTTGCAGAGGATGTTTACATGTTATAACTGTAGAAACTGATCACAATACCTACACGTATTATAGTAATAAGCGAAAATTGTAGAAATTGCTATTTATTTCGTTGAAAACGGATCATATAGAAATTGGAAGAGAAGGGACTGGGGACGAGTGTGTTGCCATAACAACCATATAAACAAGTCAAATTGTTGACTTTGTTGCACCCACTAAGTGTACCAAGTTTCATTAAATTGTATCAAATACTCACCAAGATATCATACTTTCTTGTTATTGCCATTATCTCAACTCATATTTGTGACGTCACAACTCAAAATATACAAAGTACGATAACTTGAGAATGAGATGAGATATGACGAAACTGTAAACGTCATTCTTCATCACTCCAGCAGTACTTTTTAGAAAAACAATAAAAAATGAGGTGAAAATTTCGTTGCATAGGCACTTTAAAATGGACAAAACATCTGAAAAGGGTTGAAAAACCATGAAAAAGGCCACGATTCGCAACTATATCCAATAGGTTCCAGTCCAATATCGTAAAATATTGGATCGGCACGTGACCCTCTCAACGATTATACTGATTGGTTAAGTGCGCGTGAGTGTATAATAAAAGTCATTTGTCCGGTTCACACGGTGTTTTCTCAACTAGTATCCGTTTGGATTCGTGTGAACAGAACCTTAGATTGCAATGTCCAAACGAAGTTTAGTATCTCTTTATATTCCCTGCGTGAGTTTGTTAGTCTGCTAGTTTGTTCGGAATCATAAGCCTTGGTACTTATTCAATCTGCGCATGCTCCAGGGCACTGCAGTGCAGCATTATGTCTGGTTGTTTGTTCGTGTTTCTATCAACGGGTCTCTTCAATTTAAAGGCATGTCACTTGCACTGAAGTCCAACGTATTATTTTGGCAATGCCAAAAAATAAATCACCAGGCCCCGACAAGATACACATGCGTATCATTAGAGACTGTTTGCCAGTTATCTTGGGCCCTCTTACGCACATTATAAACTCTTCCGTGCTGACAGGCGTGTTCCCTAACGAATGGAAATTATTAGAAGTAACACCGCTACATAAAGATGGTGATAACGAAGTTGCCTCGAATAACTGACCAATCTCACTCTTAGAAATAATGTCAAACGTTTGTGAGAGAGTCGCTCTACATCAGTTCAGCTCATATTTAACAACAAACCATCGTTTATCACCTCATCAAAGCGGAAACAGGAAAGCCCACTCCACTGAGACTCTAAACATTCTCGTAAGTGACACAATGTTGGAAGCAATCGATAAAAAGAACGTAACAGCAGTAGTTTTATTAGACATGTCAAAAGCCTTTGACAGCCTAAGCCATCCAATTCTCCTTCTTAAATTGAAATGTGTCGGCGCTTCCTCGCAAGCTGTCGGATGGTTTAAGAGCTATTTGTCAGGTAGAAGACAATATGTACGTATTGGATCCACAGTGTCATCCGTCCTTCCACTGTCTCATGGCGTGCCACAGGGCACCATCCTATCACCATTATTGTTTTGTATTTATACAAATGACATTCCAGCGATCCCACTATCAAGAAATATCGACTCCTACGTCGACGACTCAAAACTTTTTTTGACGTTCAGTATGAAAGACAAAAAACAAACAATTGTCAAGTTGGAAAACGATCTTCGCAGTGTAGCCAAATGGTGTTTTGAACATCAATTGTTGATTAACCCAAACAAAACTAAATTCCTCCTTATCGGTTCAAGACCCATGTTACAGAACCTACCTACAAATATATATTTAAATTTCTTGAAACAGACTATGAACCCTGTAACGTCTGCCAAAGATCTAGGAACTACATTTAACTCAATTTTATCATATAATGAGCACATTTCTAATTTAATCATCTTCAAACTTCATCATGTATAAAAATTGTGCCAAATAAACCGAGTGAAGAACAGCTTTGATGTTAAAACTTTGCAATCAATTGTCGAGATGTTGGTGATTAACAAATTGACATACGGTTCCACGATTTGGTCAAATACGTCGGCTAAGAACATCGTGACTTGTTTTCACTGCTGCAGTTAAATCGTCTTTTAAGTTAAGATTATGAGAAAACATTTCTTTTACAATATTTTTAAGCTGTATTTTTTCACTTTTAAGTGGCCGATTAGGCCGAATACATGAGCATTTAAAATTCCGAAATATCACCAACTCGACCCGACTTGACCTCGTAGCTCAGTTGGCAGAGCATTGGACTAGTATCCCAAAGGTCGCGGATTCGATTCCAACCGTGGTCAAGCAAACTTATCAGCTTGCCCGCGGTGTGGATGCACACTCAGAGTAACATCACAAACATCATATTCACCTGAGTACATAACACCAACATATCTTAGAATACACTGATATCGGAGGAACTAGACTCAGTTCCGAAAAATCACCAACTCGAACCGACTTGACCTCGTAGCTCAGTTGGCAGAGCATTGGACTAGTATCCCAAAGGTCGCGGATTCGATTCCAACCGTGGTCAAGCAAACTTATCAGCTTGCCCGCGGTGTGGATGCACACTCAGAGTAACATCACAAACATCATATTCACCTGAGTACATAACACCAACATATCTTAGAATACACTGATATCGGAGGAACTAGACTCAGTTCCGAAAAATCACCAACTCGAACCGACTTGACCTCGTAGCTCAGTTGGCAGAGCATTGGACTAGTATCCCAAAGGTCGCGGGTTCGATTCCCAGCGTGGTCAGGCAAACTTTTCAGTTGGCAGAGCATTGGGCTATAGTATCAGTTGGCAGAGCTCAGTTGGCAGAGCATTGGACTACTAGTGGACAAGTAAGCTCAGTTGGAAGAGCATTGGATTAGTATCCCAAAGGTCGCGGGTTCGATTCCCACCGTGGTCAGGCAAACGTTTCAGTTTACAGAGCGTTTTGCTAGTATCAGTTGGCAGAGCTCAGTTGGCAGAGCATTGGACTAGTATCCCAAATGTCGCGGGTTCGATTCCAACCGTGGTCAGGCAAACTTTTCAGCTTGCCCGGTGTCAAAGTAACATCACAAACATAAAAAATATAGCTTGCTCGGTGTAAGTTTTATACATGTCAAATAACTTTCCGACTTTCAGTCGCATTTCTCTCAAAATATTGTCAATCCTCGTGTACTTAGTATTTCGTATTCTGACTATCGTTAGACTACTCTTTTCAAACGTTTTGGGCAGGTTTTTTAGTTTAAAATTTGTTTCACTCCTCGGTTTTAGGCGCGAAAATCAGAGCGGGCAGTTACGTTTCACATGTAGCAGTTGTGAAAAGTTCAAATTCTTTAGAGTTTGTTTTACACATAAAATAGATTACCTGTATATATGTTTGTTAGATTACTGATCAAAAGGTTTTAATATAAAAACTCAAGGCATGTTCCAGTGTTTCAAACATCCGAGGCATCAAAAAGGAAAAATGCTGAGCAAGTATATGTTTTAATTTCTTGCAGAACAAATGGACGCACGTGCCCCATCGATAATCAAGAACTGGGCGAAAACGAGGTATGTATCGAGTATTTAAAGGTCACGCCAGTCCACGCTTGTCTGCCAGTTTATCCAAAAATAGTATTCAAGAATTGTGCGTGTTTTGCATTAAAAGCATAAAATTTGATTCCCATACACCTGCAAAAACAATAATTGTAGTGTGGGCAGAGGCGAACAGATCAATTGGAATGCGTGGAGTCCAGTTGCGCATTAACCGCAACAGCAGCTGAACTCTGACTGTGGCTCAGCTAGTTAGGGCGCTTCACCGGAATCGCCGCAGGTTCGAATCCTGACAGACGCCCTATAAAGTTGTATTTTTCGCAACTGCTCGTGATTAGTTCTAAAAATGTATATAAATGTGCGTTCGAATATTCCATATACATGAAACCCATCTACTATTAGTTCTGTCGAAGGAGATCGATGCCCAACAACATGTCTTTCAATGAAAATGTTGCATGGCGTGAAGCGAAGCGATATAACATAAATTCGGCAACGTCATGCAACTTTTTCGTGGGGAATTTTTTCCGCAAACAAATTCGTCAATGACATCGGGCTTAAAGAGCGAAGAGCACACATAATCTGCTTGCGTCAATTTGCGATAACCATCGCATTGTTAATCGTATCCCTAATGAATCCAACAAGGCCCAGCATGATTAAGGTTATTTTTGCGCAAAAAAATGCTGTTAAACTAGACAAGTTTTGTATAAATTTATGAAATGATAAGGTGCAACAGTACGAGGGACTGTAAGTTGTGTTTGTATAACGTATACATTTAGATTTTTAAATGCGTGAAACCTTTTTTCTAACTTTGTTCTAGCTTTTGCTTAACCTTTATTCTTAACTAATGTTATTTGTAATGTTTTACAGTTATATCCAGATAATTTTGCAAAGAGAGAAATAAATCAGTTCCCTGTGAAATGCCGCACTGTAAAGAACAACAAGGAATGCCCGTGGACTGGTCCCTTGCTGAATATTGAGGTAACACTAACATGGCCAGAAACGCTAAAATGTCAAACTATTAATAGCTAATTTCAGAACAATTTTCCGCTGGCCAACCAGATGTCGCCATTTTAAAATTGTCGATTTAATGATAACTAATGCATTTTTATATGAAGCATATGAATGATGAATGTTTATATATACAAATAATGAATTGAATGTTTATCAAAGATGGAATTTTCATAGACATTCATTATCTGTTTTATTAGACACCAAAATAGGTCACCAAAATATGACATCAAACTACAGTAATATGTACAATGTTCAAATCAATTTGATAGAAGTCCCAAAAATGTTTTAGTGAAGAGTTAAAAACAATGACATTCATTTAACTTAACATCATAAGAATATTTTAAACTTGCCATTTTGCTTCGCAAGAATTATCGATTTTATTTTAATTCCATGGGCCTAAATTAGGCCGTTGGCTGTGTGGCCAAAATGTGGCTAGAAATCAAATTCCGTCGCGGTGCTAAAATATTTTAACAGGAATTAGCAGAATAAACTACGCTGATTTTAAATATCTTTGTTCCACGCGCCCAAACCCGCTGTTTTTTTTTCACAATTTAAGGCTAAAGTTTGATATTTTTATTCGCTGAGCGCCATCTTGAATTCCGCGGTATCTTTGATCTTTCGGCATAATTACTTGAAGTATTCTATGAAACGCGGGCTCATAAACAACTCAAATTCATATATATGGCTAGCAAAACTGTCTTTGCTTCGGAATTTTTATACATTTTGAAGGTAAATCTGGTGAATTGTGTCACTTAACATCTCACACAAGTTAATACAACTGCAAAAATCTAAAAATATTGTGAAAGGTATGGGTTAATTTGAATGAGAAGCAGACTCAAATCGCGACCATCGCGACAAATTGTTGCACAACGCATCAAACATTTAAACATTGGTCAAATACTTTACTTTAATATTGTACATTATTAAATACCTTATACACTGTACCTAAATTTGCTATAAGTATACAGCTGGTACATTAGCGGTCATAGTTAACTGTTTAGAAGTTGATATTCGACAAAAGGTACTTAAATTAATAACAAAATGAACTAAAAAGTATTTACTCGAAGATATCAATACAACGAAATATAATAAATACTATTCGATTAAATAAGTTTTGCATTTCTACAATAGGATAGCACAAATTTCATCAGCGGTGTTGCATCAGCCATCAGTATTGTGCTATACAATTCTACAGGGATGGATCCAGCATGATTTGGTAGGGGGGGGGGATGCTCTGCCAGCTCTAGTGCCGAGTTGTGTTGGTCATGTGTGTCGCCCGCCCATCAACTTGCTTCACTACTGCAAAGTCTTGCTTCACTACTGTATTTGAATTGTAATAATTGTTGTTCACAGTTGCTTATCATCATGTTATTACTCAAATTACTGTATCTCATTTTATCTCTAATAATATTTTGCTTTATCATGAAAAATACCACACCCACCCCCCTGCACCCCCTCTGCCCAGGGCTATGGGTGATGCACACACCTTCCCAGTAAATCCATCCCTGCAATTCTACAAGTTTTCTTTCTCCATATCACTACCCAGATCATCTTCTGAATCATCTTCAAGGCTACCGCTTTCGCTGGACTCGTGTGGAAAATTTGTGCATCCAACACACTGGCACATTTTATCACACTGGTTGTTTGCCTTTTACAAGAGTATCTTAAGGTTGAACAGCCTAGCTGTTTTACATTTAGAGTTGCAATTTTTGAGTAGCACATCAGGAGCACATTTCTTTGTCATCCATACCACATCAATATTTCCTTCTTCATCAATCTTCCATCCATTATCAGTTGGTGAAGGCGCATTAATTATTGGAGTTGTTTCTCTTTTCCATATTACTGCCTGGTAATGTTCTCGCTGGATGTGTTGTAAGAGACAATCCTCACTGATTTGGAGGCAATGCTGCATTAGAATCCTTAGCCCCATATAGCGTTCATGTAAGTGACTCAAGGTTTTTCTGAATGGATTCATCAACGTCAAAATCCTCACCGAGACGCATAAATGAGATGTTTCGTCATTTAAAACAAATTTTCAGGTTGATATCTTACTTCGATCATAAAACGAGCTCGTACAATCAACCCTAGAAACGATCTAGTTATGTACAGGCTGTTGTATTCTTACAAACTACATGTGGCTACTATACATCTACCTCACTTTTAGCTAAATCATTAACGAAATGGCATCCTAATTATTAATATAATGTAGCTAGTTATTGCTTACCGGTATATACGTGAAATTCAATTAACGCTTTGCCTTGTTTCTCACCAATCTGCTGTTAACACATATGACATCTATGATACGAGTTTTCTCATTCGCACCAGTCTCAAAAAATAGTTCGCATTGGAGAATATGGCAAAAATAAAGGATAATAATACGACGTCCGTATCCGAGCTCTTTATTACAATACTTACATTCCGAACGAATGACCAACGTTTTATACGTTTGGCAACATTTGCTCCGATCGTGCTTTGTTCGCCATTCAAATCAATCCACTTTTTTCAATATTCACTAATTTTAGCAATTGTATGAGGTGCTAACTTACACAAATCGCCAGATTTACCTTCAAAATGAATGAAATATTGCCGTTTGGGGAATGGTATTTTCGTGATATGGAGTAAAACCATACTAGAAAGTCTCTAGGCCAGAGCAGGCTAAAGGAAAGGAAAGGGAAGGGTAAACAATCTTCAGTGCTCGTCTTTGTATTGATTTGATTAAATTTGACAAACCAGCAGCGAGAATAGACCATGCTTGAGCAGCATATTCAACACGAAATCGACTAGATCGTATGATTGAACAGTAAATAGAAACCAAATCGTGCTGGCCAATACCGGCTCTCTTTAATTGTCGTATATAATCTAGCTTGCTTTCTTCATAATAAAATCCACACGAGGACTCCATGGAAGGCCACGAGACAAAGTAAAGCCAAGCAATTTGAAGGAAGGAATGGATTCAACCGGAAGGCCGGCCACGTAAATCGAATGTATAATAGAGGTAGAATATTACAAGAACGATATTAACATTTCCTTACACTTTTTTTGGATTAAGCCCTATGCCCTTGCAGAAAAAATTCACTAATTTCATCCACAACGATTGGTGAATATACTTGGCTAGCAGCGAGGAATTATTTCTGGTTGTATCATTTACAAATTTAATTCTGCTTCATCAGCTTTTTAGTGGAGGGTTGATTAAAATTGCAAACAAAGTCGGCCCAACTAGCCTGGTCCCTTGCGACAAGCCTCCGTTCACTGTTTTCCAAGAAGAGCATGATTCTCCAATCCTAACTCATTGCTTCCTACCTGTGAGAAAGAAGTTTATCTACTGAATAGTAATAGGGTTAACATGAAGATTTTCAAGCTCCTGAACAATAATATTGTAGCTAACCAAGTCAAAGCCTTTCCTAAAATCAGCAAAGAAACGTCTTATCGCACAGTGACTGACATATATCTAACCCAGCCAGAATTTTGTGGAAAAGGTACATCTTTCAAGTTTACTAAACACCAATCTAGAATGAATTTTTCTCTTGTTGGAACATCAGTAATTTGGCGCAAGCCAGATAGTCTTTTTTAAAATATGATTCTTCTTCAATCCAGTACCTCTAAGCCAAAATCACCGGTAACCATAACAAGAGCTTCTGGATGTTTACAAAGATATGTGTCAACATTAGATTGAATATGTTCAATCAAATCATTATTCTCGGAGGCACTTGCTGAGGGGGGGGGGAGGGGAGGGGGGGGGTAAATAACAGCAAAGAGTGTAACTGAAATTTATCTTGGAAGACGATTTGGTCGAAGTGAAATAGCGATTCAATAGATAGGTATTCAAATTCCTGGATTCATTTACTTTTGTATATTCTTATCAAGTAATTCTTGACATTCTTGTAGCAATGCTCCCACTTTGTTTATTTTACTTGGTCCATGATCAACTCCAGGTGGTTTTACTTGTGAGGAGGAGACCATTGCACCTCATGTGTAAATGAAAACTATTTTAATTACAGCTGTTTTTCGTATGTCACATGATACCAAATAATTCAGTAAAATATATGCAACCCCTCCTCCATCACTCAAAAATTCTTACATCCCTCCTAAAATATTTGGTGAGAAATGTCTCCCCCCCCCCCTACCACCACATTTCATACCGGCCCCCTGTATTAATAATGAACGATCCTTTAGTCTATAAAATATAAATGACCAATGTTTGACACGCTACGAAACATTTGTCGCGACTTGAGTCGCTTTTTCGTCCAAATTAACCCACTTTTCATAATATTTTAAGATTTTAGCAGTTGTATTAACTTGTATGAGGTGCTAAATGACACAATTTGCCAGATTTACCTCTAAAATGTCTAAAACATTGCCGCGCAGAAAGCGTTATGCTAGATTCTTCATCCATATTTATGATTTGAGTTGTTAATGAGCCCGTGTTTCATAGAATACTTCAAGTAATTATGCCAAAAGATCAAAGATACCGCGGAATTCAAGATGGCGCTTAGCGGATGAAAATATCAAACTTTGGCCTTACATTGTGAAAAAACAGCGCGTTTCTGCGCGTGGGAACAAAGATATTTACTAGAAAATACATGCATGCAGCAACCCTCGCCTTGCTGACAAAACCGTTGTATTTTCCGAACATGAAGTATCTAAAGTAGTTGTCATGGTAACACGATAATTTTTTAAGAATATTCTTACAAATGAAAATCGCCTAAAAATATC